ATTAATAAAATGTTAAATAATACTAGCCCCATAACAGATTCCTCCCAGATCCCGTACGTTATTGCCTTCCAACTTGATATAGAACCATTAATGCTGACTCTGAGTGCGGTTAACCACCCAGCTACATACCTTCCTTACTGTAGTGCCATCAAAACCACACTTTAACAGGGATATAATCATAGGCCTCTATGATTCCTTCCAAATCTATAATTCTAGGGATGCTGAGGATTATGAACGCTGTAGCCCTAACAAGCTGGCAGGCATCAGCTTGGAGAAGGCTAAAATAATATTTTATTAGCAAAGTTTTGAATGGAATGAGAGCCATGATGCATCTGTTTTACAGAAAAATCTAGCCTAGTCCAACAAAGCAAAACAAAAATAACGGTTTGGGGTAGTTCCTAATCTGCAACCCCTGAATCCTTCATTTAGATCAGTCTGCAATAATCATCCACTAGCAAAATATATAATGGATAATAGCTGCATAATGTCTTGATCACTTCCTGATACAAATAGTACTCTTTATCTTCAGATTGATTTCCTTAACATCAATCTATTAGTTATAAAACAATTGCTCACATAAAAACTTCAGAAAAGCCTGGATGAAACAGACTGAGGCTACATCTATGGCAGTACAGCATCCTGTTTCCAGAGGCAACCAGGCCTCCAGAAATACTGTCTTGATTTACTCACTAGCCTAATTGTTCTCTATAGCAAACTAAGCCTCCAATGTCAGCCATAAAGCAACAACACTGGTCCCATTTCTCCAGAAAGCCTATCCATCAGCCCCCTTGGTATTGTTTGGCCTTCTTTCTGCAAATCAATTCTCTTGGATGCGGGGAGGGAGGGGGGAATTAGCTGTCCCTCCCTGCCTTTTTGGAATGCAAGCCTCTTTCCCAGCATTACCTCCTTCTTAAAAGCCATGTTTAGCTTTGATCCCAAAGTTGTACACCCAGGTGTAACAATAAACAAATCATGAACCATCTCTGAACGCCTTATCTTTTTAAAAAGTCATCTAACTATTGGCCATTACTCTATCTGGTGGCCCATGATTCAGAAGATAGCTAAGAGGATAGCTTAGTAATGTAAGAAGCAACCTTCCCTTCAGTCTGAATCCACTGCCAATTTTTAGCAGTACAGAAATCTCTATCCATTCTCTCTCTATAATGTATAATTCTATAACCTCATGTTTCCTCTCAGTCCTCATTTTTATAATCTTAAAAGCTCCAAATACCTCAGTTTTCTCTGATAGAGAAGGCACTCCAGTTCAGGTTGGCAACTTTTGTTTTCTCTGTTATGACATTGTTTTCAAGATGAAGCAGCCTGAAATTTATACCGGATTCCAGAAACAGCAGTAAAATATGCTTATATAAAGAAATTGTGAGACTATTTTATTTTCAGTTCCTTTCCTAATAATTTCCAACATTATTCATGTTTTTCATTGTAACTGTGTGGGGAATTTACGTTTTCTACCTCAAGATCTTTTTTGTTGTAAATCATATCCGATTCACACCTCACCAGGATAAAAATGGTTATGCTCACCCGGCTTCTCTAAGCAATGAGATGCTCCAGGGATATAGCAATTATTTTGGTTGGTTTCCTTTGGAAAATTATCACAGGAAGCTTCTTGCATTTTTAAATATATGCTTTTCTTTTCAAACATGAGTGATCATGCTTAAACACTATAAGGGTCTTAAACACTACAAGGGTCTTTATACCCCTATAAAGTGCCTTTCCCCACTGGCACCTCACCATGGCACAAACGTGCCCTGCAACTTCTTTCATTTGCTATGTCCCCACAACATTACCTTCAACCCATTCCCATTCCATGAAGGAGACAGTCTTAAAATGTGTTTAGCAATTCCCCCTAAATTGCCAACATCCATCAGCAGATTCAAGAGGTATTAAATCTGTTCTGCTTTGCCATTTATTACATCAGAGGCAAGGTCAGGTGAATAATAAAGGGTGGGATCAGAAAGGTATTTATTGGCCATTCCAAGATAATACAGGCATGCTCCCTCATTTCCAGCACCTGATCTCCTATCTTTTCCATTCTTCTGTTGTCTCCTTAAAAAACTGGATACATGAATGAAACATTATACACTAGTACTATTATATCTATGGTCCTTACTAGAGGGCTACTGCATATGACCTGCCAAAATTGTGATGACCACTTGATGACATCAAAGAAATACAGAAAATTCCATCTCTTTGCTTTCATCTAGTGGCCATTTGGAAATCTTCACCAAGGTCTGATACCTATATCTTACGTTGTTTGGCCCAAGGCTGAAATAGCAAAATTATGGAAAGGCAGGAGCACCTTCCCACCACGGAGGAGTCTGCCACTTGTAGTTTAATTCACATTGCTCCAGATAAGTTGTACAAAGTTAAGATTTGAAGGAATGCAGTTTTGAACTTAAGGTACCTATCATTCATTTGAAACAAATCGGAAAATATGTTCAGCATCAGCTCTAGCAAAAGTGAAGCTCTCTTTAAGATAGTAGTAGGCTACATTTTCATGACCATGGGTTGTACTTAACAGGGCCACTATGTCATACATAGAGAAGAGGCCATGGGTTTTTCCAGGGGTGGGGAGAATGGACATTTTCTTTTCCAATTGAATCAAACCTATTTAGGGTTTACAGTATAGTATCCCCGTACTTGCCTGAAAATGTCAGAAAACTACAACACTGATTTTGAGCAATCACTGTTGGGAAAGTTTTCATCGGCTACCCTAAAAATGGTTTGGGGTTCATATGTGGATTGCCCGTCCAACAGCCTGGAATAAAAATAGTCCCAGAGTTCACTATTGCATTAGAACTGATGAAATCTGAAGGGGAAGGTAGAGATGACATGCCAAGAGTTCCCTTCCATCCAACTGATTCCCAGTTTAATTTTCAGCACGCCAGCTCCTCTCCTTGCTTCCCATTCATGCTCACCCTCTCTCACACACAGGGTAATCAAGACATGATGCACAGACCTTGCGCAGACCCTCTACCTGTCTCATCGTAATCAACAGTAACTGGTTCTCCCAGTCCAAACAGATAAGAGGCCCCAGACATAGCTGAAGGAAGAACAGCAGGTATATGTCAAGTATGCAGGATGCCAGGCAGCACAAAGGCACCTCTTTCATTGATTTTGAATTCCACTCTTTTTTATGTACCTCAAATTTTCTGGACCTTGACAGTGACACTACTGTCTCCTATTTGACAGCCTCCCTTACAGTCTGAGCTGAAGTGATAGCACAATGGTGTTAAGCTGGGCAGTGAGGCCACACTGTGTGTGGAGTGCCATACCCAGTGCGACCCTCTAAGCCTCCCACTTGCGGCACCTGGGAACAAGTTCAGCTGACAGAACAATAGCCTGCCACATATTGGCACAGTTTTCTAGATTACAGTTTTATACACAGATTTGTACCACATCCTAAAGGTGGGGTTTTCTTTACATAAAACCTTAATATTTCAGTTTTACAGGGTTTCTTAAATTAGACTAGATTTCTAGTAGTATGGACAGAATTGGTCATAGTTTACAATTTCATTTTATCATCCTGTGCTGACTACTCTTCCTGATCTATATGTTGTTTAGAGTTTAATAGTGAGTTTCAGGTTTTTAAAATGACAAAATGTACTCAGTTACTTACACTCAATCATGAAATACTGAAAAACTTTTAATTTTTATGATACTTGTAAATCTGTTTTTCACGTGCATCTGACTCTTTTATTTATTTATTTTTTGTTCTCTTCTTTCTCTGTTTATATATTTTTCGTAAAGCATTTAATAAAAATGTATTTTTTAAAAAGCTTCACATGGGAGTTCCTGACAACAAACTGAATTCTGATTACAGTCAGTATAAGAACAAGATAAATATGTCTGGGATAAAAAGGGGCTTGGAATGAGTGTAGATTTGCAGCAATAGCAACTACAGTTTGACAATATTTTGGACTCCAATGAGTTACCTTCTAGCTGAAATTTAGCATTAGCTTTTAAAGATTTGAGTCAATTCCTCTTATAATGCCAAGTGTGAAATAAAATAAAAGAACCAATTATGCTGAAGACTTTGTAACGTATACTTATGATTCACTTATATGTGTTTTACAATTATTTAGGAAAAGAAATAATTCCCTTCCCATCTCAGAATGTCTCTATTATGAGGCATTTAAAACACCAAATGCTCTTTAAATACACTGTTGCTACTTAATTCTGACTGGGTCCCTGAGTAGGACTTTGAACTTGTTATGAATATTAACCCGTCAGCCGAATTTGCTTATTCCCCTCACTGAATGAAAAATAATCCCTGGTTCTATTTATCCCATTTTACAGGTGGACACCAAGTAACTGAGACAGTCCACAAACTGATAGTTGAAACTAACAGGAAATATTTCCACAGGACTGTACTGTAATTGGGCTTTCCCTCACCCTAATACAGTGTTTCTCAACCTTGGGCACTTTAAGGTGGGTGGACTTCAACTCTCAGAATTCCCCAGCCAGCATGGCTGGCT